AATCAGTAGCGCCAGGACAATCAACAGCTCCATTCTAGCGCACATGGTGGATTTCGTACATCGGGTGGACCCCAACGATTCCTTCAGGGTGATCTACGGGGTCCCACCAAACTACCCTAAGTCATTGGGTCAGCGACTGCTAGCAACAGCAGAAGCAAATGTTATCCGGTTGAGGAAGCCGATTCTGTGTGCGCAAAAGACCCTGCTGCAGGCCCCAAGCTTAGCGTGGCCAACGGCCACCTAGCTACCGGCATTTTTCCGAACTCCTCTCTCCTTTCCCCCTCTCCTTAATTGCCGCTTAATTAGCCGCCTGTTACTACCCCAACCCCCTCCCATATCCCCTGAACTAATTTACTTGTAACTTTGAACATAATTTTAACCTTTTACACCTTACCCCCCCCATATAAAAGTAATGGCCTGATGAAAATTTATTGAAAGTATATGTATGCTCGCCAATTCCTCTTCGGAGTTTTTAAATAATTGCAAGTTTAAGAGAAGACTGGGGTGCCCAATTCTAAAAATAACAAGTAGATGCGTCGATTCGAATTAGCTGATGAACATGAAGGAGTATGCAACGAATGTTTTGACTAAAAGCCCACTGGAGTGTACTTTAACCAGACCCGGGTGATCGCAGATCGGTGGCAGAAAATTATTAGGAAAGATGGGCTTTATTTTGAGGGATAGGTGTTTTCCAGTTGATCCAATTGCTCAAAATGCGTGGCCTCGGTGGGATTCGAACCCACACAGTAGGGAAGGCTTTTGCGCAGCTAACGCTCTACCATTGAGTTACGAGGCTCACCATGAGCCTTAAATGTCATCACACTTGGATCGATTCACCCACCCAACTTCCTGCTGCTATGGAATCCACCAGTACGGAGAAAGTAAGCTGACTGCTCAGGCAGGATTTCAGAGCAATCATCTAGAATCCCACCAGAATGACTACGAGGCTAACTTAATTGTTAGGAGGTTTTGGTGGATTTGCTTAATTCAGTTGACCCAATTGGGAAACAAATCGCGGCCTCGGTAGGATTCAAACCTTTACAGCAAGGCAGGCTTTTGTGCAGCCAACGCTCTACCAGTAAGCTACGAGGCTCACCATGAACCCTGAATGTACTCACACTTGGGTCGATTAACCCGCCCTGCCTCCTGCACTTACGGAATTCACAAATACGGAGACAGTAAGCTGACTGCCCAGGCAGGATTTATTAAGCAAGCATCTAGAATCCACCAGAATGACTACTAGGCTCAATTAATTATTAAGAGGGTTTGGCACAACTGGGTCAACTGAATTATCCAAATCTACCAACCTCCTCCCCACGCCCTAAATGTTGTTATTGTTTTATTTTGTCAAAAGCTAGGCATACATTTTTCTCACAAAGTTTTTTTTCGCAAGTGCTGCCCCCAGCCCCTCACCCCCCTAATAGTAGAAACCGGAGGAACATACGATCGATTTCCGGCGCGTAGACCTCGCCGTACAGCATAAAGTAGGGTTCCAGGAGGATGTTCTTGATACCCTCCAGGGTAATCTCCGTTCGATTCATCACCATGATGCCCTCACGCAGAGTGCCAAATGCGACTAGCGGCAGGAAGAGGAGCGTCAACAGGGGAATCATCGCTCTCAACATCTTCACGATGACGTAGATGTAGGGTCCGGAGAATCGCCAAATTTGCATCAGCTCGAGAAAGCGCATTTGCCTGCAAGTCGAGAAAGCGGGAGGTATAACCAAGTCCCAAAAAGTGCTGACTAACAGGTCTTCAGAAAATCCGATGAACGTACCTCTCAACATAGGCTCTCTTGAGGGTCACTTTTTTCTGTCATTATTAATAAAAGAACTACTTCCACATTTTCAGTAGTTCGAATTTCTGCCTATCCGAAAAATTCTGTCATATTAGTCAATAGCAATTGTGTCCTATTCTTATAGGTTCACGGGCATCCTTTACTGAAGCAATAGGAATTGATGTTGGTCGACTTTATTCTCGCTTGATACTTTCCCACATAATGTTTAGCTGAATAAAACAATTACAAACAAAACAATTTCTACGATTCACTTTCCACGCATTAAACACACATTTTCTACGCCTTACTCAGGCATTAAACAATTAACCAAGATTTCCATAAGAAAGTTGGGCGGGGGAACTTTTGCCATAAGGCGGCCTTAATAGAAAACCTTACCAAATACAGTTTCACTAATAGTAAAAGCAGAACAATATTTCCGAGGCTACTGAGCACTGAAAAATCCATACCTTTAACACTATCAAAAGAGGACGTTACGAGAAATTTTCGCCTGGACTGCGTAAATTAAAATTACTCAAACACACAGCGCGAGCTTATGCCTGTCATGAGAAGGTGAACTAACCAGTGACTTACCAAAATGCACAACAAATGACCAAGATGTTCCGGCCCCAAAGGTAGACCATCCTGTTTCGCATGCCAACGAGACGCACAACAACACCGCCAACGGAGAAGATACTAAGTATACAGTCGTAAACGTTCCAGAAGGCAGTCAGATGAACCCGCATCTTCTGCATGTAGGAATTACCAGGCACGAGAGTGACCTATATGTATTTTGAAGAAGATGTATTTAAACAAAAACAAATTATCTACTGACTTCAAGTAAGTAGTCTTGGTTTATTTACAAACAGTTAGAGCACATTTTTGGAGGGAGAGGGAGGTGAGACTTACCTCGCGGAATTTATCCATGGCGTAGGTGATGATATGGGCGTAGATGTAGACTTCGCGGGCGCTGATTTCGTTGTAAGGCGGAGTGTATATACACAGTCCGATGTACAGCACGAGGAACAGGGCGTATAGCAACTGTAATGTTGAAAACAACAACAACAGTTAGCTCCTTACAGCTCGACTGAGAGACCTGAGAGACAAAGAAATTCTGAGCGACGGAGAGGGAGGGTAGAGGCGGTCGTGGTGTGGTAGTCGTGGCTGTCAACAACTGACACTTGTTACTAAATTCATTCTGCACAGCTAGTGAACGTTCATCAACGACAGCCAACACCCCCGGCGAGACAATAAGCTCGTGGTTCAGTAGTTAGGGAGCTTGATTTTGATCAAAAGGGTCGCGAGTTAGGGGCTTAGTGGGGCTCCAGAGGGATCTGGATATTACTGGCTGACGACGGCTAATTAGCCAGAAATGGTTATTTCAGTGTCTCATCTCTTTGGTAGCAATCGTATCTGCCTACTGTCAGCTGTTACGGCTGTCAGAGCCTCTGTCGAGGTCTGAGGCAGAGCGGGACTGATGAGTTTCGTTAGCGATCAGGTGAGAATTTATCAAAGAAGTTCCAGTAAATCCATACTTCCTTCGCCAATGCGGTTGGTTGGAAGGAAGGATCGCTGTTGCTTCAAGAAGACAATAAATTTGACTAAGGCATCCAGCTTCCGACCAAAAAATTTGCTACAGGTTAGCTCCGTGACTAGATGCGGTCATTGCACTCAGTGGAAAGGAAGGTCGGGGGTTGGAGTCCTGTTATTAAAATTGATAAGTATTTCCCCATAAGCAACACCATATTTTACTATACATAACAAACTGCTTACTTTTTTGTAGTTTTCTATTCAGTTTAGTTTACCTATTAGTTTATTATTTAGTTTTGTTAATTTCATTTTTAGTTGATTCACTTGTGAAAAAAACTCGCGGTGTTCGGCGGGATTTGAACCCACATAGAAGAGAAGGCCTTTACACGAATTCAACGCTCGAACCACTTGAGCTACAAACGCCACACCTCGCGCCATGAATTTAATCACACTTGGGTAGATTTTACCCGCCCAACTTTAAAGCTAGTACGGAGTCTATCAATACGGAACAGCAAACTGATTGCCCAAGCAGCATTTCCTAAGCAATCATCTAGAATCCACCAGAATGAGTGATAGGCTGACTTAAGTATTTATGAGGTTTGGCAGATTTGCTTAATTTGAGTTGACCCAATTGTGAAAAAACTCGCGGCTTTTGGCGGGATTTGAAGCCACATAGTACAGAAGGCCTTTACGCGAAGCCAACGCTCTAACCACTAGGGCTACAAACGCCACACCTCTCGCCATGAAGTGGGTCGATTTTACCCGCCCAACTTTACCGCTCGTATGGAGTCCGCCATTTTTTCACAAATAAGTCAACTAAAATTAAGCAAATCTGCCAAACCTCCTAAATAATTGTTAGTTTTAACTTATTTGAACCTTGGTTTAGTTGAGTTTTTAATTTAGTTAGTGTAGCTCATTTAGTTTTTTTCTTTCCCCTTGATATGACCATCCAATATAACACCCCGATTACCACCGGTCCCGTATTAAACTGCGGTGTTTCTCATAAGGAATTTTTACGCTCAAGTCTTATGCCAACGAAAGAG